TTTCACTCTCTCTCTCTCTCTCTCACACACACACACACACACACACACACACACACACACACACACACACACACACACACACACACACACACACACACACACACTAAGTATATGGAATCACTATTATAAATACATCACTACACAAGCTCCTACCTTAGTAATATAAAACATTTCTGCAGGTATTTTCCCCTGAGCCACTTCCTCTCCCACCTCTATCAGCTTGGAGTGGATATTCTCCACTATGGTCTCTCTCTGTTCGCCGGACAAGATCTGACTTACCACAAAACTGAAAGTGAAGTTACAATATTGGAAATGAAAGTAAGTAGTATACCTGAATTTTAATAGGTTTTGTTTTAGGAATGTTGCTTCAATTTATCCGGAGATGAGACTGCCATTTAGTGCAATGGTTGGAAAATATGGAATGGGATCCAGGAGGGGGTGCCTAGGCCAAGGATGTTTTTGGTTCCTAAAAAGTTGGAAATCTGTCGATAGTCAGATAATCTCATCCCTGTATGGCTGCGAAAATTTCTACACTTACACCCAAGCATTTCTATTGCTCTCTCTGGCAACAATCATTTCACAATGTTCATATTTTACATTTTAAAAAATTTTTTGCTCCCCTTTTTCTCAAAAAAATTTTTAAAAAATCTAATTGTCCACATACTTCCCAGCAGACTTAGCCAGCTCGCACCAATCCCTGCGGACAATATCCAGTCCCTTGAGCTCTTGACTAGTCACGTACTTGTCCCCAACCTTAGAGACAGTCAGTGCGGCATATTTCTTCTTCTTCAGCAACAGCATGGATTTGAAGACGCCATCGATGTCTATTTCTAAGAGTCTGTACAGTTTATTGACTTCACTCTTCACCTGCAGACAGATAATTATGTAAGCGAAAAATATTAACATCACAGACAGACAGACAGGCAGCTGTGAACACTATATAAATATCTTTTTATGGCTAGTCAATGAACTATTTGGTCTCAATTTACATGCAGCCTTTTTTTTGTCATCAGGGATGCTGAATAAAATTTCTAAAAAAAATAATAGATAAATAAAAAATACAGATAATGTTAAAAATATCATTTCAAATTTCAAAAAATAAAAACTGACTTCAAGAAGTTCCACTTTCTCACATTATTTTTACCCATGAGACTAAGACCCCATTCCCATAGATATTTAGATCAATCTATCCCTATCTGGTGTCAGCTTAACAAGCTTAAATGTCTGTCCCGCCTACTAAAAGCTGTAAGGGGGTAATTAACTATGGTGCGCACTCGGCTAACTGCAATTTAGCGTGAACCCCCAGGGAGTTAGGTCGATCTAAATCTAAATCTCTGGATCGATCTAAATCCCAGGGAATGCACTATAATATCTCAGCACGAGTTTATTATCAAACTACCTTATTTCCCAATTTAAAGACCTCTTCCATTTCTGTGGAATTGGTGTGGATCATGATGGAGTCCGTGTCCCCGTAGATAACCTCCAAGTTCATCTGCAATATTTACAGTATTTTTATTTTAATAACACTGTCCTAGAGGACAGTAAATTGGGTTCAAAATTTTTTTAAAGAGTTCAAATTAGTGCATCAATATAAAATCATTTATGAGTTAAGAATAAACCATTTACTTGTTTTCAGTTATTAGGTAATTAGTGATTAAAAGTACGAGATTTGAAACATTTTTTGTACCTCAACTTTTATGATAATAGTACACATGTGAAAAGTGTTTTTTTTTTCTTTTTGCTTTATTTCTGCATTAGTCATTATCCAGGCTGATACATCACTCTAGGTGGACATACTTACACTTTCTACAAGATCTTTGGTCTTCATTAGAATCTGAAAAAAAGAAGCAAACATGTTTTGGAAGTCACAGGTTTTATTATAAAATAATAATAAAACAAACCATCAACAGTGCAACAGCCAAGTTATAACTTTTTCAGAAAAAAAATTTATTTTATGTCAAAACCATTCAGAAATGTATTCAGGGTTCAGGTTATCAGACCTGCCTATATGAATATTCTAACCCCCCCTCCCTCCCCAAACTCCCAACATAATCCATGATACCCAAGACATACAATCTAACCAACAGCCCTCATATGGATTATGGTTACCACTCTCTTCTCCTATGGACACTAGTCTTTAACACAGAATTCATAATTTGATTTTGTCTCAGTCAAAAGGGTTGCTGGGGTCCACGACATGGCCAATACTTGTACTTTGTGTGGGATAAGCAGTCCTTAAACAGCCCCGAGGTTAGAGATTATTTCAGTGCCTTCTTTAAGCATCTTTCCAATATGTAGGGACTGATATCTTCATTGGAAATGGGATATGTTTCATTTTTTTTTACCACTCCATTATAGATTTTTCATGACCAAATATCTTAGTTTCCCAATCTTTAACATTCTGGGAAGCAAATAAACTTCTATTTATTCATTTGTTATAAATTAATGTTGCCAGTGTGAGTGATCTCATAAATAACCTGCATTTACAGATCTAACAAAATAAAAATATATGCACTTTCAGATCTTAGCTCTTACAATAACCGACATGGTGTCAAAAAAAAAAAAAAAAAAAAAAAAAANCACACACACACACACACACACACACTAAGTATATGGAATCGCTATTATAAATACATCACTACACAAGCTCCTACCTTAGTAATATAGAACATTTCTGCAGGTATTTTCCCCTGAGCCACATCCTCCCCCACCTCTATCAGCTTGGAGTGGATATTCTCCACTATGGTCTCTCTCTGTTCGCCGGACAAGATCTGACTTACCACAAAACTGAAAGTGAAGTTACAATATTGGAAATGAAAGTAAGTAGTATACCTGAATTTTAATAGGTTTTGTTTTAGGAATGTTGCTTCAATTTATCCGGCGATGAGACTGCCACTTAGTGCAATGGTTGGAAAATATGGAATGGGATCTAGGAGGGGGCACCTAGGCCAAGGATGTTTTTGGTTCCTAAAACGTCGGAAATCTGTCGATAGTCAGATAACTCTCATCCCTGTATGGCTGTGAAAATTTCTACACTTACACCCAAGCATTTCTATTGCTCTCTCTGGCAACAATCATTTCACAATGTTCATATTTTACATTTTAAAAAAATTTTTTGCTCCCCTTTTTCTCAAAAAAATTTTTAAAAAATTTAATTGTCCACATACTTCCCAGCAGACTTAGCCAGCTCGCACCAATCCCTGCGGACGATATCCAGTCCCTTGAGCTCTTGACTCGTCACGTACTTGTCCCCGACCTTAGTGACAGTCAGTGCGGCGTATTTCTTCTTCTTCAGCAACAGCATGGATTTGAAGACGCCATCGATGTCTATTTCTAAGAGTCTGTAGAGTTTATTGACTTCACTCTTCACCTGCAGACAGATAATAATGTAAGCGAAAAATATTACCATCACAGACAGACAGACAGGCAGCTGTGAATGCTATATAAATTTCTTTTTATGGCTAGTCAATGAACTATTTGGTCTCAATTTACATGCAGCCTTTTTTTGTCATCAGGGAAGCTGAACAAAATTTCTAAAGGTCGATCTAAATCTAAATCTCTGGGAATGCACTCTAATATCTAAGCACGAGTTTATTATCAAACTACCTTATTTCCCAACTTAAAGACCTCTTCCATTTCTGTGGAATTAGTGTGGATCATGATGGAGTCCGTGTCCCCGTAGATAACCTCCAAGTTCATCTGCAATATTTACAGTATTATTATTTTAATAACACTGTCCTAGAGGACAGTAAATTGGGTTCAAAATTTTTTTAAAGAGTTCAAATTAGTGCATCAATATAAACAATGAGTTATGAGTTAAGAATAAACCATTTACTTGTTTTAAGTTATTAGGTAATTAGTAATTAAAAGTACGAGGTTTGAAACATTTTTTGTACCTCAACTTTTATGATAATAGTACACATGTGAAAAGTGTTTTTTTTTCTTTTTGCCTTATTTCTGCATTAGTCATTATCCAGGCTGATACATCACTCTAAGTGGACATACTTACACTTTCTACAAGATCTTTGGTCTTCATTAGAATCTGAAAAAAAGAAGAAAGTATGTGTTGGAAGTCACATGTTTTTTTTTTTATAAAATAATAATAAAACAAACCATCAACAGTGCAACAGCCAAGTTATAACTTTTTCAGAAAAAAATTTTATTTTATGTCAAAACCATTCAGAAATGTATTCAGGGTTAAGGTTATCAGACCTGCGTATATGAATATTCTAACCCCCCCCCTTCCCCCAAACTCCCAACATAATCCATGATACCCAAGACATACAATCTAACCAACGGCCCTCATATGGATTATGGTTACCACTCTCTTCTCCTATGGACACTAGTCTTTAACACAGAATTCATAATTTGATTTTGTCTCAGTCAAAAGGGTTGCTGGGGTCCACGACATGGCCAATACTTGTACTTTGTGTGGGATAAGCAGTCCTTAAACAGCCCTGAGGTTAGAGATTATTTCAGTGCCTTCTTTAAGCATCTTTCCAATATGTAGGGACTGATATCTTCATTGGAAATGGGATATGTTTCATTTTTTTTTTACCACTCCATTATAGATTTTTCATGACCAAATATCTTAGTTTCCCCAATCTTTAACATTTTGGGAAGCAAATAAACTTCTATTTATTCATTTGTTATAAATTAATGTTGCCAGTGTGAGTGATCTCATAAATAACCTGCATTTACAGATCTAACAAAATGAAAATATATGCACTTTCAGATCTTAGCTCTTACAATAACTGACATGGTGTCAAAAAAAAAAAAAAAAAAACAACTCTGAACATTTATCATGGGACCCAACACCTAACCTTGACAAATCTCAGCAACCATCAGAATTGAATTAAAAAAGCGTGGAATTTTCCATGGAAAAAGCTCATGTTTGCAATAAACAAATAAATAGATAAATAAATAAATGAACATTCCCGTGGAAAACTACACTGATCTATATCAAAAGATGATTTATAAAAACTACCGACTGTACAAGGAATCATTTTCCCCCTCTAGTAGAGAATAACTGCAGTGATGTGTCCTTAAGGGATGAGATTATTGAATGAGAATTTCTTAGATTTTCTCAGATTCCATTAGATGTATTATGTAACTGAAAATCTGTGCTTGTGGACATGTGGAAGTTTGATGGACATGGTGGAAGTCCTTCTTATTAATCTCATATGAGAGAGAGAGAGAGAGAGAGAGAGAGAGAGAAAGAGAGAAGCCATTCAAAAATACCTATCATAAGTACATAGAACCCATTCCATTTCTGTTCAAACACCACCACCATATTCAGACACTCAATTTGGGAGTATTATTCCAAACCATGAACGCAAATCTGTCACTTCTTGATCAAGTACCCCCCTCATTTTCTCCCCAACTTTGAAAACATAACAAAAACCTCCTCGTGCTAATTCACGAGAACGGTTTGAAAAAAAGGCGTACGTGACAATAATATGTGAAAGCGGGCTGAAACGGCTACTCGAGACACTATGCGAGGTTGTTCAACCTGTAAGCATATCAGTAGAATGAGAGTATTAACTCGAGTATTGCCAAATACAGCTTACGATGCCACTTGTACTACAAGCCTATTAAGAGAAGTTAGTTAAGGAGCCAGATGCCAGAAATGCTATATACTGCCACCACCATCATTTAGAACTATTTTATAAAAAAACTATGATTTAGGGTTAGGAGGATGGGGGGGGGGGATTATAAACTATTGCAAAACAGTTTGATTAAAGGAAGAACACAAAAAAGGTCTACACTCATTCAAGTATTTTACATTCATGTTCAGAGGGATGGCACAAATGTCTTATGAAAAAACGGAAATGAATCGGAATATTTTTTTCTTCAAACTGGTAGATCTGATGTTCCTGATTAGCCATTTTCTCCAAATACAATGAACCAAATATTTGGGCTTAAGAAAACCAAAAATCAGTTTAAATTTTTTTGTAAACCCAAGACTGACATGATGACAACTATCAGAAATTTGTCTCAATCAAAATAAAATCATTATTATAAAATAAATTTCACATAAATAAAGAAATAAAATGCTATCATTTCCCCACAATCAATCCTTTCAATATGTAAACACACACATATATATATATATATATATATATATATATATATATATATACACATCTGTACATCCAGTACACAACTAGTCTTCCATGTCGAAATCTTCATCCCGCTTAACCATACTGCACCTGAGTCGACTTTAATTTTACCACCTGACACCGCCATTCACGCCTTTATATTTGAACAACACTTCGGCTAATTCTCTACGCAAACAGTTTACTGAAAATCCAGTGAAGTGGATTAGCGGAACAATGCATATGTGTATCTTTCAATGTGAACCCCTGCAGATGGAGGGGCAACCCCGAGTTCAAGGAAGACATTTTGAAAAAACAAATTAAGTGCTGCTGTTTAAAAAAATTTTTCACGGTATAAAAGCTTAATTGTTCCTTTTATTTTTTCCGTATGTGATCAGGGATTTAATAATTTTTCTTATTTGTGGACTACTTGAAAGACCATTACAGCTACGGTGGGGAATCCATTAGCATAATAAGCTTTTAAAAGTTTTTTTTATTTTCTATTCAACTCCTGGCAATTCAATAATAATTTGCAATGCTTGACTGGTGAAAAAAATTCTTTGTTATTGTGCCATGCTAGGGAAGTTTTTTTTTTTCACTTGTAGATTACAACTAGTCAAAAAAATGTACTTAAAGTTTGTGCTTGTGTCAAGTTTGTGAAGTTTTTTTTTCTAAACCATATGGATTAAAACAGAAAGTGCTAAAAACATACAAACTTATGGTCCACGAATGCATTTTGGCAGTATTTTGCGCTACTGCAGAGGTATAATACTACTGTACTTTATTTATTATAATAATAAAAAAATGAATAATTCAGAATACTCTCTTAAATTTTTTTCTGATTTTTGTCCTTAAATAGCTTCTGAAAATGAAATTAAAAGACAAACTATTTATTTATCATTGAAATCAAATCCTAACCTTAAAGCTAACAAATCAAATTACCAAATTAATTTCAGTTTTATTTAACTAATCAAGGGTAAACAGAAACATATTGTTAGAAAATACCCCATAAGTACCATATCTTTTCATATTTTTAATTGCCACGAAATTCGCAGCATAGACCACCTGCATAATTCAAGCATTTCAATCAATCTCTATCTCGTTTGAGCAAATACTGCCATTTCTGCAGCTGTTGGCTTCTAAAGCATGCAGGCTGTTTCAAAACACTTTCGACAACTAAATAAATGTGTGGCAATGTTCTTAAGAGAAATGAGTGGTAAAAATTGTGTTAAAAATGCAGGCTGGCTTAGCACTAGTATGTTAATAGTATAACAAATTAGTATGTACTTGTTGAAACAAGGAGTGGTTGGTCCTTTCAACAAATGCTGTCTTGTCAAGAATGCAATAACGACCAATTTTTTGTTTAGTTTGTGGAACAAATGATTAAAAAACAACATGACACCTCAAGAAATACTGGATTGTTGGGAATGCAACAATGTAACATTTTTTCCATTTTTAAAAAAGGATGTAGAATAATCAATCATAGTTTCATAATACAACATGACACATCTTAAAAATAAATCAGTGTAAGTTTTTTCCTCTTACATCTCAAAATCCATTTCAAATCACTTGAATACTGTTGAAATCATCTGTTGACTTTATCATAAGAAAATAATGATTCCAATTTTATAACTAGTATTGTTGATTCAAATAAATCATTCACCTGTCTGCAGACAGGCTCATGTAATTTTATGTATTATATGTTATAAATAAGGTTTTTAAAAGGCTAGTTTGGGAATATGTTTTTGATTTTGGCATAAAATTTTGATTTTAATGTAAAACTCCTTTTAATATCTATATAATCCCAAGTAATAGAAAAATAAATAATTGAATAAATAAATAAATAATCAATCACAAATTTTTCGAAAAATTATTTGGAATATTTAAAAAAAAAAAAAAAGGCAGACTCAATGCAAGGAAGTTGTGATATCATGTTCATCTCCATGATATAACATGCCAATAATACGAGAGTCTGGTCTTGCCTTAATAAGCCATGGTGCCATACTGCTGAACATAATCTCAAACTTAATCTTGATAATCTCCAAAGTTATTTTACATGTTTCCCCCACTCGTTCATTCAATGGGGTATTTAGCATTACATCACGCGACACTCAAATTGAATTACTCTCACTATTTGCCTAACTAATTAGGACTTATTGAGACCCCCCTCTCCTGGGGTAATTCCTACCGTAAACACATTAAGCCTGAAGGAGAAATGAACCACTCGAACACGTGTGATGACAAACGCAGCAATGCTGACAAGTATGAGATGAAGAACTCGTCTTAACTGGCAGGCAGGGGCATATGTATGCATCTTTAAGTGTAGGACATGGAAAGGGCGGGTGGGGGGGGGGGGAGCCCTAACACTGGCCAATTTAAGCAAATGCTAAAACTGACTCAAACTGGCTAAACAAAATAGGCTTGGCTTGGTTTATCTTGTTTTGATCAAATTTAAACCATTTGGAGAAAAAAAATGATGAAAAAGGAGTGATTTGGCTAAGCAAAAAAAAAAAAAAAATTGCTAGTGCTTCTCCCTGTTATAATTTAAGCTATTTTTCAAATTACAGACAGTTGCAGTGGAGTTGCTGTCACAAAAAGCTGACTGAACAGATAATAAAGCTCAAAACTCTTTTAATTGACAAACAGGCCCTAACTGAGAAATACTGAAGTGGTCCTCTTCAAAACCAGCAGTTTTATGACTTGGCATTATTTGAGGCCATTACAGAAAAAAATCCTCTAAACTAGTAGGCAGAGTAGCACCAATAAGAGACTGGGATTGTGTCAACACATAATAAAGACTTCTTGAAGACCAGTGCTTCCCCCTGTTGACATCTGCATTTCTGGTGAAATCATTAGCTCATTGGAATGGCGACAGAGGTGCCACCTATTGGGACTAAGCACAAGTGAAAGAAGCTGCACTGCTTTTTGTCACAAAAATATAGGAAATGTTTGATGAAAAACAAAATATAACATAAATATTACCACTAAATCTTAGTTCTAAGGCATGAACAGTTAAGAGTTTCCTAACAAAGTCAAGATTTTCCACAGGTGGAAAATTTTAGGAAACAGTCATAATTTGTATATTTCTCATGAGCAAGACCTGGAGACCTATATAATTCTAAATTCCTACAAAAATAGATAACAGTCTGATATATTTTCCTCACCTCTCTTCCCTTCCCAGTGACCAAGGCCGCCAGAGGCTTGGCGTAGAACCGAGAGTGAGAGAAACCAAGGCAACCGTACATACTGTTGGCTGTCAACTTCAGGGCTTTCTGTCTTATGTCATACTGAAAGGACATGTGAGAATTTTTTGGTTCTTTTGTGGCTATTGCTCTAGAGACCGTGATTACCCTGTTTGGATAAAGTAGATTATTGATTGAAATAAAGTATGTGTACATTGAAATGACAATAGAAAAGTTGAATCAACATATAAATACAAACGTATTTCTAATAAAAAAGAGCTCAAAGGACAAATTGTTGTAGGCAGATAAAAAGGCCTTTCAGTTCATAAGCCTTATGTTATATGAATCTCTTTAAGTCTGGCAAATACACGTGGATAAAATTCTGGCAGCCTTTGATCGTTTCCCAACCACATTCACAGCTATGCCATAATTTCTGATTCCACTCTCCTCTAAATTATGCAAAGTCTGGTTTCATTCTACAGTAAGTTGTGGGATTAAAACTTAGTGATATGAATCCTGTTTAATTCCATTAAGTCAGAAAATTTAGTCAGAACAATTGTTCAAACCTGCATATAAGCATCTGGAGAAAGATTGGGGGCCTTCATCATTTGCTTCACTTGTTTACGACTTTCTACAAGTTTCCTGATTTCCGTTGGCAAAATGCCAGGTTCCAAGTCCGGGTCAGGTAGTTCTAAATGCCAGTCCTCTTCTTCCTCTCCCTGAAATAAATAAATAACACGCATTTTAGTCCCTTTCTTCTGTTCTTCTTCTGTACAAATTTTAAGTAGATAAGGAAGTATAGCCAAAAATGAAAAACAAATTGAGAAGACCTGAAGAAGATGACAGCTAAATATGCTCAAAGCTCTCAAAATGTGGGATGCGATTTCAGTTTTATCACTTAAAAGTGTTTTGCTTAACGGGAAATAAACAATGACTCAGCAAATTTGAAAAGCTCACCTCCTGCTTGGACTTGTCTGGTGTTCTAGCAATGGTGGTAAAACAAATGTTGTATTCCTGAATAATGGAGGGGTACAAACTGTTGAAATCCAGCAGCAAAATGTATTTGTCGTAAAACCCCTTCTTCGGCTCAAGGACCAATCCGCCGGCATATGCAGGTTTTCTGCGACCCTGTGTTTTCTTGCTGGATTTGGATTGGTTGTGGTCATCATCATCATCAGCGTTTTCCTCCTGCGGACAGTTTGGTTTTAAAACAATTTTTACTCACTATGGCAATAATTAAGCATACTTTTCATTTTGCAAAGTAAGAACAGTTGGTACTTCTCAAAATCTTTTAATTAAATCAATATGGCAGCCCTGTCATCAGTGTTCTTGGTAAATATGACAAATGATAAAACTCACTATTCACTTCTCCCTTAATTCCAAATTTTCACTCACGTTTGCCACATGTTTCTTTCCATACTGTTTATCTGGAGCGATGTAGTTTTTCTCAGTGAAGGCATGCAGCAGAAGGTGTTCGTTACGTTCGGCTCGACCCCCCATAAGTGTCCTTGACTGAAATATGAGTTTAACATCAACAGGGCTCATACAATAACATTTAATGTTAAATAGCATTTTTATATAAGTAGCATACAAAATGATCTTATATATAGGAATTCAAGGTCTCATAAACCTTTAATAATTCCAAATTATAATACTGACTCATGTAACAATCTGTGCTTTTGCCCAATCAAAGTAAGGAAAATACATCAGCAATCAGATGACTGGCCAATCAAAGTAAAGGCAACATCATCAAACAGACAAAAACAATATTGCAGATTGCAGCCATATTCAGACTTTTGGTGTTTCCTTGTAGTACATTAACATAAATTTTAAAAATTATATCATAAAATAATTTTTGACTTTTGCTCTCTGTCAGTATATTTTTTTTAAGNTCAAAGTCAAGATTTTCCACAGGTGGAAAATTTTAGGAAACAGTCATAATTTGTATTTTTCTCATGAGCAAGACCTGGAGACCTATATAATTCTAAATTCCTACAAAGATAGAGAACAGTCGGATATTTTCCTCACCTCTCTTCCCTTCCCAGTGACCAGGGCTGCCAGAGGCTTTGCGTAGAACCGAGAGTGAGAGAAACCAAGGCAACCGTACATACTGTTGGCTGTCAACTTCAAGGCTTTCTGTCTTATGTCATACTGAAAGGAAATGTGAGAATTTAAATTACGTCTCTCTTTTGTGACTATTACTTTCAATTACAGCCTGTTGATTTCCTCGAACTTAAAAGGTAGATTACTGATCAAAATAAAGTCTGTGTACAATGACACAGACAATTGGACAGTTTCTTCAACATATAAATATATTTCTCCGATAAAAAAAGAGGACAAATTGTTGTAGGCAGATAAAAAAGCCTTGCATTGCATAAACCTTTAGTTTTATGAATCTTTATAAAAGTGGAGAATATATACGTGGATAAAATTCTGGCAGCCTTTGATCGTTTCCCAACCACATTCACAGCTATGCCATAATTTCTGATTCCACTCTCCTCTAAATTATGCACAATCTGGTTTCATTCTACAGTAAGTTGTGGGATTAAAGCTTAGTGATATGAATCCTGTTTAATTCCATTAAGTCAGAAAATTTAGTCAGAACAATTGTTCAAACCTGCATATAAGCATCTGGAGAAAGATTGGGGGCCTTCATCATTTGCTTCACTTGTTTACGACTTTCTACAAGTTTCCTGATTTCCGTTGGCAAAATGCCAGGTTCCAAGTCCGGGTCAGGTAGTTCTAAATGCCAGTCCTCTTCTTCCTCTCCCTGAAATAAATAAATAACACGCATTTTAGTCCCCTTCTTCTGTTCTTCTTCTGTACGAATTTTAAGTAGATAAGGAAGTATAGCCAAAAATGAAAAACAAATTGAGAAGACCTGAAGAAGATGACAGCTAAATATGCTCAAAGCTCTCAAAATGTGGGATGCGATTTCAGTTTTAACACTTAAAAGTGTTTTGCTTAACGGGAAATAAACAATGACTCAGCAAATTTGAAAAGCTCACCTCCTGCTTGGACTTGTCTGGTGTTCTAGCAATGGTGGTAAAACAAATATTGTATTCCTGAATAATGGAGGGGTACAAACTGTTGAAATCCAGCAGCAAAATGTATTTGTCATAAAACCCCTTCTTTGGCTCAAGGACCAATCCGCCGGCATATGCAGGTTTTCTGCGACCCTGTGTTTTCTTGCTGGATTTGGATTGGTTGTGGTCATCATCATCATCAGCGTTTTCCTCCTGAGGACAGTTTGGTTTTAAAACAATTTTTACTCACTATGGCAATAATTAAGCATACTTTTCATTTTGCAAAGTAAGAACAGTTGGTACTTCTCAAAATCTTTTAATTAAATCAATATGGCAGCCCTGTCATCAGTGTTCTTGGTAAATATGACAAATGATAAAACTCACTATTCACTTCTCCCTTAATTCCAAATTTTCACTCACGTTTGCCACATGTTTCTTTCCATACTGTTTATCTGGAGCGATGTAGTTTTTCTCAGTGAAGGCATGCAGCAGAAGGTGTTCGTTACGTTCGGCTCGACCCCCCATAAGTGTCCTTGACTGAAATATGAGTTTAACATCAACATGGCTCATACAATAACATTTAATGTTAAATAGCATTTTTATATAAGTAGCATACAAAATGATCTTATATATAGGAATTCAAGGTCTCATAAACCTTTAATAATTCCAAATTATAATACTGACTCATGTTACAATCTGTGCTTTTGCCCAATCAAAGTAAGGAAAATACATCAGCAATCAGATGACTGGCCAATCAAAGTAAAGGCAACATCATCAAACAGACAAAAACAATATTGCAGATTGCAGCCATATTCAGACTTTTGGTGTTTCCTTGTAGTACATTAACATAAATTTTAAAAATTATATCATAAAATAATTTTTGACTTTTGCTCTCTGTCAGTATATTTTTTTTAAATCTCAGAAAGGTGACATCAACCTCTGTTTCGCCTTGGTCTGCAGGAGAAAAAATGTTTTTGACACAGACTGCTTATAATGAAATAATACTAACACCTTTTTAAAAGTTATCATCGATACTCACCATCACATTACCACAAATGTTAGTTATCTGGAGAGCTAGTGGTAAGACATTTAGTTCATACATTATCCTTAACACGAATGTTGCGTCAATCAATGTCAACTTCACCAGCTCCATTAAGTGCTTGGAAGAACTGAAAGTAGGTACAGAAATACATATTTGAACAGCAAATGGATTAATTTGACTCACAAAATGTTTCATTCATAGATCTAGTTTGAGGTCAAAACAAAATTTCACTAAATTTTCGTAAAATTAAGTAATGCGTCTAGATAGAATTTGTACATATGCAAGTTCATTTTTTCACAACTTTTCTTTTATCAATAAATATCTCGAATGAGAATATGGATTAAAGAAGAATCTTCCCCTCTTTGCATTTTCTTCCTTTATTTGAACATTTCATACGAAATCTAGAAACTTTCCATACTATTTCACATATATTAGACAAATATTCTTACAAAGGAAGGAAATTTCCAATCCCTAAAAAGCTTTCAAATTCAGAATATGCCTGTGATAAAGAACAATTTTTTATAAAGCAAGTGGCTTTTTCAATAAAGACCCTATTCAAACATTCAAGCATTTGAAGAATGATCTCTTTTAACAGTCGCCTTAGCTAAAACAAACAAACAAACAAACAAACAAGCAAACAAACAAACAAATCCCCTGCCTCTCACCTGTACATATCCCTCATGTCATCCAAGTCAATTTCCTGGCGCCTTTCTTTCAGCACCTGATTGGACAACTCAGTGAGGTCATAGGCACGAGAGCGAATCAGCTCCTTGGCGGAGACTTTGACGTCACAAACTATTCTCCCGCACATGGCAGACTGACTGGCCAATGAAAACCCCCGGCCCGGGCCACCCTAAAATAAGAATCATTTTTTTATGATTTTTTTTTTTTATATCTAAATGTTAAACCCCCAACTGCTCGAATCAATCTTTTTTTGTTGTGCTTGTGTATAAGTGATCTCAGTCACTATTGTTAACTATTTACACTATTTGTACTACTACTAAGAATAATAATAATAATAATAATAATAATAATAATAATAATAAAGAAAGAAACAAAATTCTAATTGTTAAACTCCAGTGCAAAAATATATATTTTTTGTACATGTTCTCAGTTACTTGCAAACTATTTGTGCTATGCTTGAATTCCCTTTAAATAAATAAATAAAAATAAATAAATAAATAAATAAACGAAGTGAAGAGAGCTGGCACCTTGCAATGTACATGTACCACTTAAACACATGTAGCTCAATAAACTATTACCATTACCTATAACCATGCAAGAACTTATACTGACTGATAATTTTGGCATCATTTGTCTCTTTAGTCGTCCCATCTTGGACCAGTGAGGTATCTTGTTACTCTGAAGTCTGTGGAGCAGGACATCAATGTCAAAACCATATATATCGTGGCCCTGTGGAAAAAATAAAAATCATTTAAAATTCATCTCAAAGGTGTCAATTTCTCTCTTAGTGGCTATTTCACAGACAAAAAAAAATAAATAAAAATAAAAAAAAAATACAGTGTTGAACTGAATTAAGTAGCCCTATTTGAAATGTACTAATTATTAAATAAAATTATAGCGGGAAATTTAACTCAAACACCTGCTAAAATTTCTTCTCATCAATTCAGGCTAATAAATTTGAAAAATCCATTTTTTATGGCAGTAGCTAACATCTAAGAAAGTTCATTCACACAAAAATATACACGAATACATGCATGCACATACATACACACACAAGCCTATGTACGTACCACAATCAGATCAGGGTCTATCTTGTGTAATCTGGCCAACAGGAATGCCAATAGTGCCCTCTCTGTGGGCTGTATGTCCACTTTGGTGTTCTTACTCTGTTGGAGGGGGAAAAGGAAAGACATGAATATTCCAAAATAAATAACAATAATAAAAAAGAAAAAGTTTTGTTTATGATGAATTGCACTCTGCTTTCATTAATTTTGTATAAAGTGAATGCAATCTTCACACTTATAAGCCATATACCGACTTCACCTATGCTATTCTTACCAAAAAGGGACTTCAACTCCTGCTCGTTACAAGTTATACTAAAAAAGAACTGTAATATTCTTAGCATCTTTTTATAAAATAACTGAAGTGTCAGAAGGAGCTGGGCAAAATATGACTTGCACCAATCTCATTGCTTCTATCNTTGTCAGAAAAAAAAAAAAAAAAAAAATACAGTGTTGAATCGAATTGAATTAAGTAGCCCTATTTGAAATGTACTAATTATTAAATAAAATTATAGCGGGAAATTTAACTCAAACAACTGCTAAAATTTCTTCTCATCAATTCAGGCTAATAAATTTGAAAAATCCATTTTTTTATGGCAGTAGCTAACATCTAAGAAAGTTCATTCACACAAAAATATACACGAATACATGCATGCACATACATGCACACACAAGCACATGTACGTACCACAATCAGATCAGGGTCTATCTTGTGTAATCTGGCCAACAGGAACGCCAACAGCGCTCTCTCAGTGGGCTGTATGTCCACTTTGGTGTTCTTACTCTGTTGGAGGGCGGAAAAGTAGGAGATGAATATTCCAAAATGAATAACAATAATAAAAAAGAAAAAGTTTCGTTTATGATGAATTGCACTCTGCTTTCATTAATTTTGTATAAAGTGAAAGTAATCTGCACATTTATAAGCCATGTTCTGACTTTACCTATGCTATTCTTACCAAAAAGGGACTTCAACTCCTGCCTGTTACAAGTTATACTAAAAAAGATCTGTAATATTCTTAGCAACTTTTTATAAAATAACTGAAGTGTCAGAAGGGGATGGGCAAAATATGATTTGGACCAATCTCTTTGCTTCTATCTTATAATAATTTATGCAAAAAAAAATGTAAATAACCAAAACAAACATCAATTCCCACCTCTCTCTGGACCCAGTCCTTGAAATCATATGGAAATATGTTGTCACTGGGCTTTGTTATAGCTGGAAATAATGTAGAAAACATTAAAAAAAAGACTCCATCTTTCAAAGTAGAAAATCCAATTATTAATCTTTCATCATTGTGTCAAAATTACTGTTAAGTAGCAAAAACAGAATCTGATAACCAGTAATAACGGAAAAGATAAAACATAAAAAGAAAGCAAAACCTTACAAAAATTACTCAAAATGAATTGAATTTAGGTTATTCACAAAGACAAAGTATTTTAATAGATAAAGGCCTTTAAATAACATACAAGTACATGTAAAAAAAATTTACCACAGAAATGAGAATTAAATGGCGTCTTGGGCGCTGGTTTGTCCATCTGGAACTGCTGGTTGACAAGACAAGCCACAGCTATCACCTGAAGTACAACAACAGAAATGAACCTGGGTAATTAAAAAAAATCTCTATAACATTTATTGTGGGACCAACTGTATTAAAATTATGGAAATCTGAGATTTTGTGAAAAAAGCTCATGCCTGGTATAACTATATACCAACTCTTGGATATGAACATTTTACAATATGATATCTCAAAATGCTGGACCTTGCCATTCTAAACCATAAGTAAGAGTGAATAAGCTGTGCTATGTTTAAGTATGTTTATTTTCTATTTATGTAAAAATGCCATTCAACTTTCCTTTCAAAATAAATAAATAAACAAACTTATTGCCTTTGCAATATCTCACCTCATTCTGGTGCGTCTTGGGATTTGGAAGGGTTCTCATGGTTATCGTCATGGAAACCAGTGGTGGCGGTGGAGAGGCATCTTTCACCACAGTAATGTTATCTGGAGAAACGGCCTCTGCCTCCACCTTACACCAACTCATAGGAGCTTTTATGATCTCTGAATTGTACAAAAACATTATGTAGTTATTCATTCATTCATTTAATTTATTTGACTTTCATGGTATCGTTACAGTAATCAAATGTACGATGCTAAATGTGACATCATATGGTGCAGAGATGAAAGTGGACCTTTAAAAATTTTGAAAATGTAAGCACGAAGGCATACAGCTATATATGGGGAGTGAATAAATACAACATCCAAATATCTGAATTTCCAAACAAATACAGAAGACTTTTGATTTCTATTAACATATTAAGCTTTTTTCCTGCCTAATGTTAATGAAAGTATTCTCTTGAATCTCACTTGAGATCAGACATTTCAAAATGTACAGCTAACTTACGAGGTGCCTTGATGTCAATCCAAGATGGGCCTTTTAACTTTCTCTCCAGCAACAAGAGCTCAAGACTGAAAAAAATTAAATCATAATTCTAAATAAGGTGATAACACAAAGTACAGTTTAAACATTACACAGACATCTGACAATTTCAGGGTGAGGAAGCAAAAAAAAAGGGGAAAAAATTTCCGTGACTATCTATGTTCAGTTTTTTCATCCATATTTTATAACTGCTAGATCGAGACTTTAACAGCAACATCTTTAACACCTGGTTGCATTTATAGAACTTTAGCAGAAACATAAAAAATCACATAAATCAGGGCATTCCATAGGTAATCTTCAACATATTGAATCAACTTACAAGGAGGTATTTGTGCCAAAAACATGGCTGAAGGTTTCTCCTTTCAGCTCCTGGGGTATTCTGGTTGGAAACTTGGCACCCTGCAACGAAAAGACCATTTCATTCAACTTGGTTTACAACACTGTAAATAAAACGCTTGATTCAATTCACTTAAATTACTTAGTGTTCTTAATCATGCTAGTGGGCAAATCATATGCAATATTCTCTCATGAAAAAGGTACACCCGCCTGTTTAAACAAATCTGCCAAACTATGAGAAAAGCAAATTTGTGGAAAAATCAACAGGTAATACCATTATATTTTCCGTTCCACAATTTCATTCGTATGCAGACACAAAAATACGGATACCAGAAACACAAATCATTGCTACATGTTTTAAGATTGTGTCCATAGCCAAAGATATAACGTTCAAGGAAATCTTACATTATATCTGACTTCCATGTATTCGGACTCCACTGGAATGTCTGCCACCTCAAAGCAGTATTCCTTTGTCACTTTCTGAAATAGACAAAGCAGCAATTATAAAATTTTCGGAAAGATAGAAACAGATTAAAATGCAGTTGCTGTAGTCATTATCCCTTTCATAATCCTATGAATTGCAAAGTAAAATATAGACTGATAAAAAAATCAAAAGAATCGGACTTTTCTTCTTTAATGTACTTGTCAGAAAATATAAGTTACTTTGTTCTTTAAAATTATGACAAAGAAATCAAATTTCTGAATCAATGGACAATATAATAATAAGTTGCACTTTAATGTACCTACCCTGGATTTGAACATGGTGATATTCCTCTTGTCCTTTAGCTCCTTGGTGATCTCATTGTAAACATCAACAAATGTCACTTCCTCTCCTGTGTCATGGCCGGTTTTCAAATTCACTCTCTGAATAATATAATTATATAACCACACTTAAAGAACAAGAAGTTCTCATCTGATAACTAACTGTAACTTAAAATGCAGATGTTGTTTTATTAATTATAATAATTTGTTTGCTTCCCACATCCTCCTGAGGAAACACAATAAGATAAGTCAATATATTTAAAATTTGGAAAGGAGTTAGCATTGCTTGCCAATAGTGATATAGTGTTTACTACAAGATTTAGCAACATAATGAATACTTTTCACCTTTACACAGATAAAAGAGGATTTTTATAAAAATCCTGAAAAAGCAGGTATGAAAGGCACAGCGAT